TGAAGATGAGTAAGGAGAGGAGAGATGAGTTGCAAGTGATATTGAGGAGGAGGAAGGAGGAGGAGAAGCAAATGAAGACAAATCAAAAGAGAGAACAAGAGATGAGGTTGTGAGTGTAGAGGATGAAGTAGTAGACATTAAAAGAGAAGGGAAGACTAATAGATATGATGATTAATATAAAGTAATGGAGGCAATAAGCTAGTACCTGATGATAATGATGATGATGATGACAGAATGACTGTAGAGGTCACAGTTGGTTCTAGTGAAGGTAGAACACATGATGATACTTCAGTTTCATTACAATATTCAGGTAAATTGGATCTCAGTAAATTTATTGCGTTTTCTGGAACTGATAAAGCACTCTCACTAGTATTGACTACAAATACAAAATGATTAATTAATATTAAAACACATAATGTACACTTACTGAATGTCCAACCAATTAATGGTCTTACTCTTCTCATCACTTTGGCATCACATAAAGAAAGATTACACATTCGTCCTGTTAGATTCTCCCAATAATAAATATCAATATCTTCTGCTGTGTCTTCATATATTAGACTTAACTGATTGACTGCATTTGAATCAATGTATACTCCTACTATATAGCCTGGACGTACTGGAAGAAAAGCTTGATTAGATGATGTTTCTACATCAATTTCTATTCTACTGCCAGTAGCTGACTCACCACCATTTCCATACGTATTACCAAATATAAGATTGTAGACATTACTCTTAACAGGATCTGGTTCTAATACTTGAAACTCAATTCCACTCCCAACAGTAACTGATGTATTACCAAAGACATGAGCAAACCAATCATCAATAACTCCTTGACAAGAGAAGGTCCATGAAGGAATGAGTAATTGTACTCCACCAGTGAATATACCACCACTAAGACTATTTACTGCTGAAAGGGGATGGGAGCAGACATTAGCAAACGTGATTTTATTAATAATTGTAGAACAGAGAAGAAGAAATAGAAACATTGCTAAGCAAGTTTGTGGCTTTGTGCATAGCTGGTTTATGGGTGCATAAATAGTCGAGTACAGGAAATGCTCTAATACTGTACTTTAATATAAATGGTGGGTGTTGAGAGCATGAGCCCACCCTACACTCCAAACATAAAAATAAAAATATTTATTTTTAATAAACAATAAAAAACTTAGACTATAAAAACTACAATGTATCAGTGTCCTCATATATAGGACCATATTCATTCCACTTTGAATTGTTATTAGCAACATTCCCATAAGTATGGAGCTTAGCCTTGATAGCCATGAGGTGGGTCGGGCTGGAAATAAACATGAATGTCATCATATTTATTGCTATCAACAATGTTACATTATGTTAGATCTATATTATGTTTATTAAAACTCCTAATAGAATAGAACTAGGAAAAGCAACTGATTTGTATAAATGTCCATTAGTCGAGTCATCATAAAATTTAATATAAGCCACCGAAGCATAAAATGCCAGCACATAACCTTCCTGTACTATCAACTGTGGATCTGCTGTAATATTGAGACAGTCACTACGCTGGAGCTGCAAGT